GCAAGGAGAAAAGGGGGAAGGCCTCTCCTACAGCCATAATGGGCCCCCAAAGCTTTACACTTTTATGCCTTGCACGGCACAGCCCAGTGCCTCTCAAATCAACCCTTAGAGCTCGCAGCAGCAAAGAAACAGCCCGGAACTGTTGCCAGCAAAATCATTTTGACAGAAAATGCATTAAGAGGTTTTTTTTTAATAATCCGTCCCGGCATAGAGCCTGCAGCCCTGTGTGTTGCGCTGACGCCAGACCTACTGGGGTGGCCAGACATCCTGGGAACAGCAGGACAGGAACATCAGCCCTGCGCGTCCCTTTCTCTTCCTGAGGCCAGGGGTTAAAGCTGGGGATATAAAATCCCGTTTAATGGGTTCAGAATGCATTAAGAGGTTTTTTTTTAATAATCCGTCCCGGCATAGAGCCTGCAGCCCTGTGTGTTGCGCTGACGCCAGACCTACTGGGGTGGCCAGACATCCTGGGAACAGCAGGACAGGAACATCAGCCCTGCGCGTCCCTTTCTCTTCCTGAGGCCAGGGGTTAAAGCTGGGGATATAAAATCCCGTTTAATGGGTTCAGTGGTCAGGCTCATGGGGGACCCAGTGGGGCTGGAGTTGAGCAAGGGGGAAAACTCAGGAGTCCAAGCCCTGCCCTAACACTGCCCCCAGAGCTGGGACAGAACCTAGGAGTCTTAACCCCCACACTCTAACCACAAGACCCCCACCCCCAGTCAGGATATAGCTCAGGGGTCCTGGCTCCCAGCTCCTCCAATCTAACCTCTAGACCCCACTCTCCCCACAAGTCCTGATTCCCAGCTCCCCTGATCCGACCACTAGGCCCCACAGCCAAGGAGAGAACCCAGGAGTCCTGGCTGCCAGCCTCGGCACTGTACCCACTAGACCCCACAGCCAGGGGGAGAACCCAGCAGCGTTTCCTGTAAGCCAAGCGCTTGCGTGGCCGCCCAGGAGAGATTCATAGAATCATAGAACTGGAAGAGACCTCAGGAGTCATCAAGTCCAGCCCCCTGCTCTAGGCAGGACCAATCCCAACTAGATCAACCCGGCCAGGGCTTTGTCAAGCCGAGACTTAAACACCTCTAGGGATGGAGACTCCACTACTTCCCTAGGGAACCCATTCCAGTGCTTCACCACCCTCCTAGTGAGATAGTTTTTCCTAATATCCAA